TAAGTAAGTAAGTAAGAAGAAGAAGAAGAGAGAGAGAGAGAGAGAGAGAGAGAGTTTTTTTTCGCAAAAGATGATCGCACGCGCGCTTGTTCACTAGCACGAACACAAGTAACACCACCTTCAACGTCTCTCCCTCGTCCACCCTGTCGTCACCTTGACATTCTCCCAAAGTAAAGACACTACTATTAGATTCCTATTTATTCCTAACTGTTCCACCATTCTATCGATCATCGATCCTCCGACAATTCGAAGGCGGCTTGCCGAGCCTAAACACTTTCTAGAAGCACCATCTGAGGAGTTTAACTTCATGTTTCACCATCCTTCGGTAGTTTCTTCTAAATCTAAACTGACTTTGTTCTCCCCAAAGCACTTCCATGCTAACTGTTTCGTTTCTCGTCTTTATTTATTTTGCAGTGACGAGACAATTCTTTTTCCATCCTGATATTTATTACTATTATTATTATGATTGTTAAATTCTCTATTTCTTCCCGCGCAGCTCGTTTAAAGCTCGGAAGCTAAAAGAGCTTTCAATAATGTTTCTTTGAAGTTCCAGTTTGCTATATCACTTCTTCTCTGTTGTTTCTTTCTTGGTAAAGCAAGACGATTCATAATATTCCTTCCAAATTTTGCGTGCTAGTGGACTAGTGGCTAACTTGTATGTTGTATGTTCCCTCGTATTGTTTCCTCGTTCCTTCTGCCCATTTGGAACTATAAAGCGACTAGTTACTTTAACACTCCCTCAAATCTAGACTTTGGTTTTTTACAGCTATCTATCTGATCGTCGTTTTATCATCCCTAGTTTTCCGTCACCTTAATACTGCTGCCGAACGTACAACGCTGAGATAATTGGTTTAACTATCCCTTCGCTCCTTTACGTTTTTTTTTTTTGCTTTAACAGTCTAGCGTTGCAAAGTGACTTATCTCTTTTTTTTTTAAGTACAACATAACCGTTCCTGACTTCTAATTGCTTCTTCATTATTTTACAACTCCCTAATTGCTTTTTCAATACTGTGGAACAATTAAGTAACGCTTCATTCTCTTCATTTTACACTACGAATCTTGGATAAGATTCGTTCCTCCATTTTTCCATCATGTTCGTTTCATCTTTCTTTCGTTATTTCTTCATTTTTCATTAAACCTTCAAATTTTCGACTTGTCACCTTGATGCAACACTTTCAAATAGTTAACACTACCCACAAACATCTCTTCTTTCATTATTTTGTTCGTTTCTTCATTGTCCCTCCAAGGATTTGAAGGCACGAGACGACGTGTCTCTTTGATAATCTTTTGTAATACAACGCTAGAACCAGTAGATAATACGTTATATTTGCCGTTTTCTGTTATAAGTAACAAGATGCTGACATGATATTTCATCACATCGTCGCGATCACATAATTTCTTAGCAAAAATCAATGGAAATTGTTTCACAAATTCCGGAAATCAATTAAGCAATTAAAAACGTCTCTGTCATGTTCGAGCACATTTTTTTCCGCATTTGTACGCAGGTAAATAGTTTCTTCCGCGCACAATTGCGAGTTTATTTTCGCGTCACGATGACGCGATGAGCGTTATTCCACAAAAATGCCCTAGTGTGAGAACTTGAGGAACACCTGTTCCAGGGTAGTTTGACTAAAACTATACTCTTCTATGTCCAGTTCGAGCTTGGCTGTAAACAGAAATTTCCAGAGATAAGTCACCGATTTATAAATTCCAGCCGCGTTAAGTTTTCCTTTCATAAAGAACTTTCTCACTCGTAAGGGAAATTCAAGTTGCAATTCTTAAATTTATATTTATATTCCTATTAATAGAACAAAACTTTTAAGTTTAAAATTTCACAAATTTAGAAATTATTCGATTATCATTATCACTAAGACGAAGTGCAATACTCAAAACTGTGACTGTAAAAAAAATTTCAGAAGAAGCTTGAAGAAGCTTCAAGTTGTGAAATATTTCAGACTCAAGAAACAAATTACTTTTATCTCTTAATTTTTTTTATCTCTTTCTGTTTCTATTTTTCTTCCAATATTTTTTGTACATATTTTTTTTTTTTTTTTAAATACCTTGAGATTTTTGTATCCTTTGGACTCGTGACTAATTGAAGTCTGAAGAAATTATTCAAGCCGTTTTTCTCACCTTTTTCCAACTGTGTGAAGCACTCAGCCAGCGAGTTCACGGCATGTTGGGGCACGGCAAAGACCAGCCGGTCGGCGAAACTCTCTTCCAGAGTGGCGTCGGGAAAGAGGCCGGCGACAAATTCCTTTAAACCGGCGATCCTGTCGCCGGAAGGTGTCGTCGGTGTGCAGTCGCCGCCCAGCAGCTTCATCTCTAAAGTATAACCGGCGCCGTAGAGATTCTTTAGATGCTGAGTCGAGCCGATGCATCTCAGCTCACCCTTCACCATTATGCCGACTCTCGAACACAACGCGTCGGCTTCCTCCATGGAATGGGTAGTCAATATAACACCCCTGCCGCCCTATTAATTAAAGAAGAAGAAGAAAAATTTTCTTTAATATGAGTTTTTATCGTTGTCTACATAATATACCCACATAAATTCTTATATTGACTCGTCTTAATAATTCATTATCACGTTATCCATCTTCCTATATTTACTATTTATTTATAGTGATTTTATAATTATTCGTACTGATTTGATTTTATATTCTTTTTCATCTATAAGAAGTCCTTTTATAAAGCACGTCATTTAGACAATGAGGCTAATGGGAATTAGCGTTGTAAACAGTGCGTAATTAGATATTTAATTTCGTTTATTAATGAAAAGGGCCAAACTCGACTCAAATTTGAATCGTCTTTAGCGATACAAAAACGTAAGAATATATTCCTTTTATTAATAAACAAAGTTAAATATATAAAATTAAACATAAAATTAAACATATAATTGCGCACCGTTTATAACATTAATTCTCATTAGCCTTACTATTGTTCCATTATTATCATATTGAAAATCTTTTTTTTTTTAATATCGTTTGGAAATTATATTAAATAAAATTAGGAAATAGCTTTAATTTAAAGTGTACACTCACCTGGAAACTAGCTAGAATCGTGTCCCATAGAAATCTCTTCGATCTAGGATCCATACCCGTGCTCGGTTCGTCCATAAGGATCACCTTAGGTCCACCGACCATTGCCATTGCGAAACTAAGTTTTCTCTTAGTTCCACCGGAACATTCTTG